ACCTGGCTAAGTAACATCTTCAGTGCTAGAGAGGAGTAGGGTTTGCTCTCTGTTTATATGCAGCAACTTGCCCTGTCAGGGTTGGTGGGGGGAGGGGGTGTTGTTTTTTCCCTGGTAGTTCCTAAATTAGTCTGTTTTATACTGCTTGCTTGTCTGTCTGAGGTCATAGTTCCTTGATTAGGGTATTGTTTACTGCTTGTTTGTTTGTCTGGTGTACTTGTGTTAATCCCTGCTTATCTGGATGTTGATTGCTGGCGAGGAGGTGTTCTGGTCTCTTTGCTTCTTTTTTTAGCTTTTTATTGTCTCTTTTGAATAGTGTGTAAATGTTGTCTATCTCTATGTGCCTGTTGATGGCTGACTTGTCTGAATACCAAGCTTCCAGGAATTCCCTCATGTTTTTGGATTTAGCTTAGGGTCTAAGCTAAGCTAAGTCTAAGATGCTAACAGTTTCCCAGTTGAAATTATGGTTGAATCTCTCCATGTGTTGTGAGATTAAGGAGTTTTTTATTTGTTTACTATCTGGCTTTTATAGCAAAGCCACACAACAAATATTTTTTTAGTTCAGTATTAAAGCATGGAGATTATCTGATGCATAGACACTCATAAAAAGCAAAATACCCTGGCCTCTGCTCCCCACTGTCACTCCTGTGAACTTCTGAAACCTTTCCTGATATTTGGCAGGCTTTCACAAAAACAACTTGAAATGTAGTATGAGGCTGCAATAGGGGAGGGGGACAATGGAGCAAATACTTTTGTGTGAGTCAGAAATTTTGTTTGCATGGGGTTTCCTTTCAATACAATTCAAGCTTACAATAGCCATGCACCTTAACTTCAGTTTGAATTGCGCAACATTTATTTGATTATATTATTGGGTTCTGTCTAACAAAGAGTGTAAAGAAAATCAAATCCAGAAAGTTTCATGTCTGAAGGCCCTTATTCATAGAGTGGTCATGTACATATAGCAAAAAGCAGGAACTGCTCCACTCAAATAAGTACAGTTTTGTGTAAAGATTATACAGGCTATTTGACATGTATAGATGAAATTTAGAAACAATTACTACAAATACTAATACAGTACACTTCACCATGGTGAGGAAAATTGTGATCGGGTGGACCTTATAGCCTGTTTTTCCCTCTCTTCTGAGGTTCTTATCCTTTTTTTTTTTTTTTTTTGAGATGATGATAGTTTCAGTTCAGCACATCTGATTGAAGTTGACTCTTAGTGACCACATAAACTTTATCCAGGATGATCTGTCCCCAGCCTGGCCCTTCAGTGTTCCAGCGATGGACCCATCGCTGCTGTAAGAAAGTCCACCCACCTTGGTACTGAGTGTACTTCTTCTCTTTCCTTCCATCTTTGCCAGAATTAGAGCCTCCTACAGAGATCTAGGTCTTCGTGTGCTGTGTCCAAAATAGGATAATTTGAGCCTAGTAATTTGTGCCTCGAGCGAAAACTCTGGAATATGTTCTATGATTCATTTGTTTGTTTCCTTGACTATGCATGGTATTCTCAGGAATCTTCTCCAATACCAGAATTCAGAAGCATCTTTCTATCCTGCCTCTTCCAACTTTTGCTTCCATAAAGTGTCACAGCAAAAACAATTGCCTACATGATTCTGATCTTTGTAGGTCAAGGGTTATCTCAATTTTTTCCCATGTCCTTCGTGCTGCCCTACCAAGTGGTAGTCTGCGCTATGTTTCTTGACTGCTGATTCCTTTACTGCTGATACTAAAAGACAGAAGCTAATTCATCACTTCGATATCTTCATTTTCAGTTCTAAGGCTGGTGGCTGTACCTGTTTGGTCTTCTTTATATCTATCTGTAATCCCATTTTTTTCATTGTGTTCCTTACTAAAGCTTCCAGATCCTTTGCATTTTCAGCTATCAGAATAGTGTTATCAGCATTGTGCAGGCAATTTATATTTATTGTGCAGGCTATTTATATTTCTTCCTCCAATTTTAAAATTGTGTTTGCCTTCTTTCAGTCCAGCCACAGTCAATATTATTCAGCATATAGATTGAATAAATAAGAGAGTATGCAGTCTTGTCTCACTCCTTTGCCGACCTGGAGCCAGTCTGTTTTGCCATGTTCTGTCCAGGCTGTGGCTTCCTGACCTATGTATAGGTTTCACATGAGGACAATGAAATGTTTTGGAATTCCCATTTTCCTAAGGCTACAGTCAGTGCATCAAAAGACTTACTATAATCAAGGAAGTACATATTGACTTTTTGGTATTTGGCTTCCTCAGTTATCCAGCACACATTAATAATAATGTCTCCTCCTCCTGCTCCTCCTCCTCCTCCTCCTTTTCAAAAACCAGTTTGAATATTTGGCATCTCTCTTTCTATGTACAACTCTCATCTGCAGTGGATAATTCTAAGCATTATTTTGCTAGCATGTGAAATTAAGGATGTGGTACAATCGTTTGCATGTTGTATTAATCTCCTTTCTTTGGTATTGGTATATAGACTGACCTCTTCCAATCTCTTGGCCACTGTGTTTTCTTCAGATCTGCTGGCATAGTTTGATTAGAACTTTGATTTTTCTTCTTCCATTGCTTGCCATATTTCTGTAGATATTCCATCAGTTACTGTAGCCTTCTGCCTTGGTAATGACTGGAGGGCTTCTTCTACTAATGGTTCTTGCAAATAAGGAATGTTTCCTGAGGTATCTTGGATGTTGACATCTCTACTGTACAGAATTTCAATATACTCCTTCCATTTTTGTTTGATCTTCTTTAAATCAGTTACTATCTATCCATTGGCATCCTTTAGCAAACCAGTTCAAGGGTGGAACCTCTGTCTGCATTCAGAGACCTTTCAGAAGACCTTCCTTGTTTTTCCATGTCTGTTTCTATCATTGATGTATTTATAGATGTTGTTCTAGTACTGTTTCTTGTCTCTTCTAAAAGCTCTCTGAAATTCTTTGTTAAGTTCCTTTTTGAAATCTTTGTCTTTCTTGGCTTTGTTTTTTCTTCTTGGCAGTTTTCATCATTTGTTCTGGCATCAAGTTGGTTTCTTCTATTTCTTGGTCTTTGGCAGTCTCTTTTCATGTTCATCCTTAACAGGTTCCTTGATTTCAATCCACTGATTCCCTATTAATGAAGTTCAAGATCTCAAAGTGATTCCTGATGTTCTCCTTGAAAACGGTGGGTATATGCTCAAGATCATATTGTGGAAACTGATTGGATCTGATCTTCTGCTTTAGCTTGACTAGAAATTTGCATATGAGCAGTTTGTGATCTGTTCCACAGTCAGCCCCTGGCCACATCTTCGCTCTTATAACTGAGTTCTTCACCTCACTGTAACATGTATAGGTCTATAGGTATTGTTTTCATTGTCTGAAGACTAAGTTGGCAATGAAAAAAATCATTATAATGGGAAAAACTGTAGTAGTTCACTTGTGTAATTTCTGTTTCCTGGTTCAACTACAATTTATTCATTATTATTTCCAACATGACTATATTCCATAGATTTAGGCTGAACTTGGATCATAAACCTCATCAACTTCTTCTACTGATTGGAGCTTAAACTTCTATAACCATCACTTTAAAGGATGGTCCACAAAATCTAATTATTATTATTTAGCATTGACTGCACTGTACTCATGTACTGTCTTTGCTATATCCTTCCTGACTATAAAAGCCACACTCTCCATCCTTTGTTTTTCATGTCCCGAGTAGTAAACATTATGATCTTCTGACAGAAAGTGTCCAATTCCAGTCTATTCAAATCACTGATCCCTAAGATGTGAATATGGAGTTGTTTCATTTCATATTTCACTGTGTTGAGCTTTCCCGTGTTCATGCTTCTTATGTTCCATGTTCCCACTTTAACTCTGCCTCTGCAGCTTCAGATTTTTATGGCAACATCAGCAACTAGGTGTCTTGAAGGCTTTAATCTAGCTACATCATACTATTTGTACTCCAAATGATCATCACGCTTCCTCAGTATTGTCATCAGACCTGAAGAGCCCATCATCCAGCATTATATCATGAATCATTTTACATTGTATATCCATATTATTTTCTTGATAAAATATGAGAGTGATTTATTTTTTTATTTAGAAAATATATATGGCCATCTATCTTGCATATGAGTTTGGGGTGACTGACAGCAAATAACAGAAATAATATTATAAAAACATTACAAATCAAACAGAATAAACTGAATTAAAATAAACGTAATACAGTATACTTAGCAATAATCCAATAACAAACCATTTACGATTGCCTTCTCCTGTGCAGTGTGAAATGAAGTCTTTGCCATTGTCACTGAAATGATCTTCTTCCTCCAGCACCCAATATAGGTTCCTACTTGGTTTAGCTGGGCAGCCAAGATGACCTTAACCCCTTGGGTGACCCTGATGGGGGTATATACTCTTGGTGTACACTCATAGCCTTCTTCATTCATCTTCCTAAGAACACCCCACCACCAAAATGAGGTGGTACAGCAGGATTTGAGGGGATCCCTGTAACATATCCTCTGTGAACGTTTGTGCTAAGTAGAAGACCAGAATGGCTCTAGGAATGAATTGTTATTTTCTTTATCACATTCTTACCCTCTTTTCTCCAAAAAACTCAAAATTGTGCTTCATGGTTCTTCCAATTTTTTCTTCATAATAGGTCAGTGAGGTAGATTAGATAGAGAATTATTGGCCCAAATTATCCAGTGACTTCATAACTGGTTTCCTAAGTTTCAGCCCAATATGCTGACCACACTGACTTTTTATAGCATTAAAGAAAACTTGAATAAATATGTATTTATTCTTTAAATTATATCTCAATCAGTAATTCTGTTGTGTTTGGCATGGAAAAGATATGTGCAACTGTAGTACCAAAGATTCAGTTGTCAATTTTTGCGAATAATGTTTAATATAATAAAGTAGAGCAGATATTGGATATATAAATCCTTATTGTAATTCATATTTGACAAATTATTCTCAACTAATATAGTTTGCCTCATCGCTTCATGGGACTTTTCTCTGTTCTTCTTGCAGTGGTTATGTCTTTGATTATGATTATTACAGAGATGATTTCTACAATCGGTATGTGTACCTTTGTTTCTGCCTTTGGGTGTATGAACTGCATTTTTTATTTATTATAAGAGGATGGGAAAAGTACATTAATTTCCCCATGAAATCATGAGGGAATTGTGAGAGTTGAACTGGGACAATGGGAAAAGCTTTTTTGCTAAAAGGATAAGCTTGCTTCAATATACATTTTGATGTATATTTCTTAGTAGCCTTCATTACAGTTAAGATTAAATATCCATATTTACAGTTACTGATATGTAAGAGAGTTTTTCTCAGTTTAATAAGCTGTCACATGTTGTTGTTTTTCCCTTTGGACAAGGTTTTTCTAAACTTTCACTCTGCCAGTCTCTCCCAGCCACGAACAGAGCTACAGAGCTTTGCTGGTTGTTGTGGTGGGAACTCTGTGTGCCTCTTAAGTTTTAGTATGGAAGAACCTTTCCAGAAAAAGACAAGCCAGGTTACTTAGTTGTATTAAAAAGTTTTCCAAATACATAAACTACAAATCAGAAAAAGTACGGTATTTCTTGGCATCTCCTGTTTAGACCATTTGGGAGCATGTTTACCCAAAAGCAATTCCCACTTATTCCAGGTAAGCATGCAAAGAATTATGCGTAAACATGACAACCATATATTTAAAACAAATAAATGTTGAAATTGCTGTTTGATTTGAAGTTGATGGGATGGTATCAAGGGAGGACATTCATTGTTCTCAGAAATACTTGAAGTACTTTTTATACATCATTCTCTTTTCTTACTGAATAAGAAGTACTCCAACTTATTCGTGGAGATGTTTCAGCTTAGCCATATGCTCTTTATATGTGTAGGGATTATGAAAGGCCACAATGTCTGAGAGTTCTGGGAATTGCAGTCTCAACACATCTGGAAGGGAAGGTTGGAGTTGATCTTAATCGTTTCATAATTACTTAGGTGAAATAAAATTATGTGGAGCAAAATGTTCATACTACAGTAAAGGCAGCCTAATAATGGTGCTCTTCATGGAAAAAGGAACAACACACTGATTGTATATGAAATATAAATATGCTTGTTAATGAACAGAGGTCCTTGAAATCTAATTTAACTCTGATTAAAACTCTTGAGATATTGGAGGGCAGTTTTCTCATAAGAAAGAGCAGAATTTACTTTGCAAAATCTACCTAACATGAAATTACAGTTAAACTCTCTGAAGCCTCTATTTCTATTTCTCTAAGGTTGTTTGACTACCATAGCCGGGTCCCTGCCCCACCTCGTGCTGTGATTCCATTGAAACGCCCACGGGTAACAGTCACAGCAACTCGCAGAGGAAAAGGGGTGTTCTCCATGAAAGGAACATCAAGGTCTACATCGAGTGGAACTTCATCATCAGGATCAAAATGTGAGTTCATACATAGGGGTCCTCTCTCTCTCTCTCTCTCTCTCTCTTATATATATGTGTGTGTGTGTGTGTGTGTGTGTGTTACTCATGCAATGTGTGTGGTTTTCGTGTGTGTGTGTGTGTGTGTGTGTGTGTGTATAATTAGTTTAGTGAAATGTTTTGTCTCATTTTTATCAGAGTGATTCTTAATTATTTATGTTCCTAATGTTTCATTAAATGTTGATTTAAAATTGCATATCTAGCAGTTCTCAAGAATAGCGGCCACTATGGCAAGAAACTAAACAGTATTATCATTTCTTGACTGTAGATGTAACGAATATCTTCTGAGTTTTTTCAGCCTGTCAATATATAACATAGGCACACATGAAAAAGTCAAGTGGGAGTAACAGAGAAACCTTCAAAGAAGGCTTCAAAGTTGCAGTAACCAAGTCAGGATGGCTGCTCGATCATCTGAATATATCTGGAATTGTAACCATAAAATGAGCTGCACTAGTGAATCCCTTCTTTGTGATTCTCCATCTTTTCAGAACCTCTTTGATTATCTATCTATACACTTATTGCTTTTTTTCTTCATATACTCAGTAATACATCACTAGTGTCTGCTTTTACAGGATACCTCTGTAGGGTGGGAATTGCATGAAAGCAGAACAAAGCAGAATTAGTTTCTCTGCTTCCTGTTCTCCAATCCTTTTGTAGAGACTCCTTTATCATAGCCTGGGATTGTCGTTCACTTCTTTTTCAAAACAGAAGACTACGTCGTCTCTCTGTTCCTTTGCTTCCAGATATATTAATTAAGTATGCAAAGGATGTAGCAAAACTTTCGGAAAGAGGTTGCAGATAAGTAAGGTAGCCTGAATTCACCTGGATTAATGCAACCTCAATATACTGCACTGCTTTATTCCCTGTTGTATCTATAACCAGACACTTACAGCTGGTAATTAAAAGGATTACATGGTATTAATCCTTTTCCCCATGGTTCATTGGGAGAGTTTGGGATGAGATGAATATTCTCAAGGCTGAAGAATGTTTTCTGTCCCTAAAATATACAGAAGTTCCACCATTCCTTTCCTTATTTCCACTATACTGAGAAATGTGTGCCTGGACAAAGGTTTTCTACAGTGAGTTTTCTTTTTCTCAGCAGTCACTTTTGGTGAGATCATTACATATAAGTTGTATTCAAATTAGTGGTGAAAAGATGCCCAGGTGATTTGGATGTCTTGTTCTTCCTCTGTGTAATATGTGAACTATCTCCCAGACTCAGAGTTAATGCAAAATTAAGCCTAGACGTGAGGTGAAATTTTCAAAGGATTTTCATTTTTCTTTCCTTCCTAGAAAATAAGGCACATTTCAGATATTTCTTTGTGGCAGCCATGACCCACTTCTTTGCACATTTCTGAGAGATTCCTGGAAAAATGGTTTCTTCCCCCAAAGAAATTTGGTGAAATGTCCCCTCCTCAGTCCTTTGTCCACAAATAAATTGAACATGTCATAGTGGCCCACAACTCTAAGTTGAAATATTACCAGGGACATCTATGGGAAAGTCAGGCTGTTAGGTGGGACCATGCAGTGAAAACCCCATTCCCTCTTTATATGTGTCATATAAGGGTCAGTGCTTTTAATTCACTGTCATAGCCGACATCTTTATTTTTTTTAACCACCCCCTGCAGATACCCTGAATATAATAGAACAGCATGAATAAAATGTCACAATAGGAGAGCCAGTAATGATAACGCCTTAACATCAAATGGTTTATAACATATGTTTGATTCTCTTGAATTGGGTTCAGAAATTAGACTCATGCAGTGCATTTTGATTCCAATAGCAAAAGCACTTCTCAGAATTACACAAAAATATGTTTGACATCTAGAAAAACTAAAAATATTTAGCAAAGAATAAAGTTTTCAAAAATGAATGAAGAAGAGGGAAAGACTTTATGCCTGATTTTTTTTTATATTTTCCTCTTTGGTCTCTACTGGTAGATCTTAAATGTGGGGCTGGAATACATGCTCTGAACAAGTGGGTATCCATTTTGCTTTAGTAAAAGGATAAAGATCTTCCTAGAGTATTATACATATGAAGAACAGGAAGAATATGTTTAACAAGTTTATATCAACAGAAATAAATGTTAGTTAATATTTTATTGTGCCATTCTATCATTTTTGAAAATTAAAATGTGGATCCTTAAAAGAATAGTCTATCTTACAAATAAGAAAAAAATTCTGAACTTCATAAAAAGACCTTCATCCAAAAGGTCTTTGGATAGTCTTGAGTCAGTCACTCTCTCTCAATTTAATTTCCTCCATTTATGAAAAGATATATTACAGCTGGAACTGCAAAGCCTAGCATACAGGTAGTCCTCACTTACTGACCGCAATAGCTATAAGTGACATCATAAAATGAAATGTCATGTGACTGCGCCCAACTTATGACATCAGTTCCAGCTGTGATCATGAAGTGAATCACCATGGGTTGTTAAGTATGACATCACGTGACTCTGACTTGTGACTTCCTGCCAGCTTTCCCATTGACTTTGCTTTTTGGAAGCTAGCTGTGAAGATCGCAGATGGAGATCATGTGACTGTGGGACGTTGCAACCGTCATAAATGTGTGCCGGTTGCCAAGTCCCTGAATAACAATCACATGACCAGGGGGACACTGCGACAGCCACAACTTTGAAGACCCATTATAAGTCTCCTTTTTCAGTGCCGTTGTAACTTTGGTCGCTGAGCGAATGGTCAGTAAGCAAGGACTACCTGTATTAGGAACAGTACCATTGCAAACAGTTTGAATAATTTTTAGCATTTTTGAAGAAAGTTTCCTCTAAAACATATGTAATTGTTTACATGAGCTGACATGTGATCCTCTGGATAAACTCAAGTTAAAATGATAGAATTTTGTTTGCTAATGTATCAATCTAAAATCTGTATCTGTCAATACAGACTATGCTGATAGAATATTATACAAACATACAATAAAATAAAACCAACCTCTATTTATCATAATAATTATCCAGGATATTATCAAACTATTATTGAATATCACCAGGAACAAACATCTGAATTTGGACTCAATATGATTGGGGAAGAAAATAGGTATTCCTAAAATAATGGTAGTACTCTGAGTATATTTTTGGGAAAAACAGAGCAATGTAAATATTGCATTTTGTCTTCGATTCCTTTTTTCCCCTCTGATGAGGGGAACTATCCTCAGAAAAGTAGGTATCTCCTTTCTGCATTGATCAGAAGCCAAATAGCAGCATTATACTTCACAGATGATACCTCACATTATGTATGCATTCAAAAATACTCAAGTTTTAAATACAGTAAATTACCTGCAAAAATGTGAATATTTCTATTTTTCCTTTCAAGAAGCTTGAGGGAGTTTCTTTATTTGTGGAATCTGAATAAGTGCTGATTAATGTTAATCTTGAGTCATCAAACATTTTTTAAAAAATCTTTCTACTCTGTGTCAGATATTCTAGTTTAAATCACCATGCAACAGCTCACTTCCATCTAAAATGTCGGTAGTTGTACATTTTCTGCAAGGAAAAAGAAAAAGATGTTCCTACACAATCTGTATCTGTAACTCTTCAATTGGGAAAATACTGAACATTTTTCTTCTTATTCTGTTTATGGATCTAGAGTAGCTAGAGGAACAAAATGTTAATTTCATGAATTGGTTTTGATTTAATTACTAATAGTCTCTTTTCACATGAGAGTGTAAGACAATTGAATATTATTTGTTTTTATTCATGAAGGAATAACACAATACAAACTACAAACAAAAAATAATCACATATTTGACCAGTCTTTAGAAACTAAAGTTCCAGCCTGCAACCCAGGAATTATCCAGTAACATAATAAAATCTAACATGTGCCCAGCAAAGTGATGTTCTGCAAAGCTGCAGTTGATATAGCCAAAATTTTTCATTGTTGTAAAAATGTGTTTAAGCTATTTGTTATTCTGCCTAATGTGCCAATAACTTAGGGAGGACTTTACAAGGTCTTTTCTATAATTAATATATAATCAATATAATCAATTCTATAATTGATCGTTAGATCTTTATATTTTTTTTCCTATTCTTTTTTCCTCAGTTCTGTTGTCCCCAGCAACTGCTACATCTACAAAAATTATTGTTTCCTTTTCAATTATTGTTGTATTGTGTTATGTTCTAGATGGCAATCAGTTTGTAAGTGAAAATTCCATAAAATTTTAACATCATCATTTTAAACAACTTTTTCAATTTTGTGATCATACCACATTTGGGAAATTTGGAAATTATAATTTTTGTACAGATGCCAATGAATCATGACATTGTTGTATCCATTAATTACATGATCTAGAGTTTCATATTATTAATTAGGCTCAAAATCAAGGTGAGTTACATTAAAAGCTTCATAAAAAATGAAATTGCAAAAAGTACAACGAAATTAAATAATGCTATGAGGAAGTACATCAGTTGGCAGAATCATGAGGCACCTCAACCCATGGCCTGTTCAGAAATGCAGGTTTCCAATACCTTTCTAAAGCAGAGCAGAGATGGGGCCGAACAGCCTTCCTGAGGAATGGTATTTCAGAGAGCAGGAGTGATGACAGAGAAAACATACCTCTGGGGTCTCACAAGATGGCACTGTTTAACTGAAGGGATCCAGAGCTTATAGGATGGGTAGAAATAACTGGAAAAGATGGTCTCATAATTAATCAGTCCTCAAGCCATACACAGTTTTATAGATCATAACTAATGCCTTGAATCACGCCATTTTACTATTTTAACTACTATTTTATCCCCACAACAAACTTGTGGGGTTAGTTTGACTGAAGGAGAATAATTGACCCAAAGTCAACCAGTGAGCTTTCATAGTTGAGGTGGATAAACTTGATCATCCCCATCCTAGCCCACCTCCCTAACCATTCCACTTCGCAAGTGTGAATTTTGTGTGCACATTGCAAAGGAAAGATAACTGCTAAGCATGTTGTGTGGTGTGTGTCTATGTATATGTGTGTGTGTGTGTATACATATATACACACACATACATACATACATATATATATATATAGTTAAAGTCTCTTTCAAGGTAACTCCTGGTTATTTGACTTCCCTGTTTAGCCTAACGTCCTAGGATTTTTTTGGTTTGTATCTCAAGTATTAATGAGAACTGACTAGCTTAGTTTTTAAAAACCACCAAGGTTGATTAGATGTTTAAGTGACTACCCACCCCCAAAAAATGTTTGTTTAGTAGTGGGGGATTCTTTATATTCTAAAGGATGTGTTCCTCCTAAAAGAAATAGTATTATGCCATTTTTATTATTGCTGTTCTATTCTTTTTTCACTTTCAGTGAAATCAGATGAGTTACAGACAATCAAGAAGGAATTAACTCAAATCAAAACAAAAATTGATTCTTTGCTAGGGAGACTGGAGAAGATTGAAAAGCAGCAGAAAGCTCAATCAGGTAGAAGAAAATTGTCTATAACTCTTGGTAACTCATTAAAACATGAACTCAACCACTGTAAAAATATCAATCATATTGTCATTTGAGGTTGGAGGTGGGTGCCAGTGAACATTTTGAGGTGTTTTCTGTTTAAACCTAAGATCAAATAAAGTTTAAACATTCTATCATGCTACACCCATTAAAGTGCTGATTCATTCCTAAAAACTGTATCTTTTTCAAAGGCAATTTATTTTGGAGCTTGGGTATCTGAAACCTTTTAGCATGTTTTAAAGCAGTGTTCCTCAACCTTCGCAACTTTAAGATCTGTGGACTTCAACTCCCAGAATTCCCCAGCCAGACATCTTAAAGTTGTCAAGGTTGAGAAACACTGGAATAGATAGAGGTGAGCCCAGAAAGTCAAGGAAGGATCTAATTATGGCTGGCTGGGGAATTCTGGGAGTTGAAGTCCACAGATCTTAAAGTTGCTAAGGTTGAGGAACACTATTTTAAAGTTTGTAAGAAATATGCCAAGGGAGTGGAGGGAAAGGGTAGACTTACCTTTCACAGCATGTCATGATGTCCTTATAATCTGCATCATAGGAAAACTGCTTTTATTGAGTGTTACTGCTGGATAGCGGAGACAATGTTTAAACCAAAAGGTCATGATAACTGTAAAGAAGAAAAGATGGCATGAAATGGCTAGTCCTTCCACATGGTTTTTCTAAAACATTTGGCTGTTTCTTCAGCATGCTTATTTGAGAGTAAAACTTGAGTCATTGGAGTTCACATCTATCTAGGCATGCATGCAATGTTAATCTAATTCCCCTCTTTACCAAAAAATGACATAAGATGTCTTGTACATTTTTGAATTAACCACTATTGGGCTTTTTGCAAGAAAGTGCAAAAAGGAAAATAGGAAATGTTGTTCAGTGTTCCAGTTGAAAAAAAAGTTGGGAACAAACTGACTAAATAATTCAACAGACTAAAATAAAATGGAAATAGAGAAGGAATGAAAGAGAAATATCCAAAAATGAAACAATTTACATTTTAAAATAAATGGGATATCTTTATGCATCATTTACTGGAATCTGTAACTCAGTATCTCTTGAATAATCAATGCCACCAATAGCAACAGCAACAGCTGTAATGGACAACAAGGGAGTTTTTTTTGCAATGGCTATTCAAATATTTTGAATTACTCCAAAATCAAAAAGAACTTTAAAACAAAGATTTCTGAGGAAACAAAATGGCAACTTTTCCAATCCTATTTTATAAAATAAAAAATGTAATTTGTCCAAGGTATAACTGTAAGTGTGAGGAAATGGAGCTGGGATTGCTGTCTGCACTTGGGAAAAACAGCTGCAGCCAGGCAGAAATGCTTCCCACCCCACTTCCCCAAGGCTCAGCACAGCTCATGCTTTTTTCCCCAGAAACCTGAGAGATGGGTGCATGCATGCATGCATGCATGCATGCATGCATTCATTCATTCATTCATTCATTCATTCATTCATTCATTCATTCATTCATTCATT